TATATATATATATATATATATATATTTGAAGTATTTAAACTATTTGATTAAATAAAAAATAAATATATGTTTCATATAGAGCCCATTGAAATTTCAAAATTTTAGACCAAAAAATTTGAATTTAACATTTACTTTATTAGTTCCATATAAATCCCGTTGGAATTCTTTTTTAGCTTTATGCCTAATTATAAAAGTATATGACAGGCCACTTCATATTATTTCATTTCTTTTTTTTTTTAATATTTAAATTATTTTACTTTAAAATTTTAAAATTTTCAACATTTAATTTATTATTTCTCATTAAAGCTCTTTAAAATTATATATATATTTTTAATTTTAATCAATTTTATGCTCAATTAGAAAGATATTTATTGCCACTTCATTATATGTGACAAATTTGAGTGATTTCATTCCCCTTGTTATTTTTGCATGACAAAGCCATCATTTTCTCTCTATCTTTTAAAATTTTGAATTTTTGAACATCACACATTATGTGATATTTTAAATATTTGTTTGAATGAATGAAAAATGAATTTTTGTAGTTTTGGAAAAATTTAGAGAAATCATTCTCTAGGATGGAAGCTTGGTGGTTTGCCTCCTTGGTTATTCTTGATGGAAGACCTAGTTATTCCTCTTAATAATTACTTATTTTTTCCTTCCTCTCCTTCCTCCACAAGCATACTAAAATCTCTCTATACATCTCCCTCATGTTCATGTTCCAAGACCATTCCCTAGCTTCTATAACATTCAAACAAGTTATAAGCCACCTCATAGGAATCAGTCAACGTAGGGTTTCGAGTGATTTAATCTTGGTGGTCATCTTCCCTCCATCCCTCTATCAAATTATTAGATATTCTTCAAATACTTTATATATGATCTCCACATACCCATCTAATATTTACAAAATATTAATACCCCTTCATATTCCCTTAGCCTGCTCCATTAATCCTATAATGTCAAAACTGGCCAAATTAGGTTATCCTATACCTATTTTTTTCTTCTCCCATTACAAGCCCTAAAACTTTTGGATCTCCACCAACTACTCGATAATATATATAGGCTATCAATGATAGATTAACTATTAAGATCAATAGAATGCATAAAAATTATTCCTCATCATCTGAGAATGTTGACCTAAGATGGGTAATATCATTATAATTTTGTGTAATTTTTTGTTCATAATTCATTACTAATTATCATTTACTAATTATCATTACTATATTTAATTTTATTAATTTTTTTCTAACTTAGATACAACTTGTGGACTTCTTGCTCATGATGGGCTTACTCTCGAGGATGGAAATGTGAATGCTAATGAGAGGGTATTCAATATGGTTATGAGACATGAACATCAAAGAAAAGTTCAAACTCGAGGATTTTGTGTCACTTCAACTCGATACTTTCCTCATTATAAAACCACTGAAGCTGACAATAGCGATAGTAGTTTTTTTTTTTTTTTTTTTTTACAACACTTACAAAGAGGAGCACTCCTTACGATATGAATTTAAAGATTTTTACTCATTACGGTATGAGTTGAGAGGTTTTATCCAATAATTTTAAAAATAGTTTTCACCTCTAGAAAGCTCATAAATAGTATGTAAAGTTTTAACTCAAGCTATATAATGTTATCAATTCATAGCTCACTTACTATTAATAAGGAAGTAATGAATATTTTTCTAGGCTAATCTTATGGAAGAATGAGCCTCTTGTTGGTTCTTTTACCTTTTGAAGTGACTTACTTTTATTGTAATGAACTAGTTGGCATGCACTCTCTTATTGTGGAGAAATTATTTTGTGTTGTCACCGGACTGTTCGGAGGTGAATCAGGACTAGCCACATCCAGTGGCGGAGCCAGAAAATATATCTAGGGGGGGCCTAAATTTTTTCTTTTTAATTTTCCTTCAACTTTTTACATCCTGGCTTAGAACCAATATAATCAGTATTAAAAATGATAAAACTTTGATAATGAATTAGTTTATTTTCTTCTTTCACAAAATGTCTTCAATCATCAAATCACTTGATTTCTATTAGAACATGTTTAATATATTAACTAAATATGTGATATTAAAAATCTCATTGCAAAAAAAAAATCATAAAATCTCTTTAAGATCGAATCAATATAGGATTAGGATAATATCAATCATGGAAATTAAATTGGGAGTGATTTGATTGGATGATTAATCTTGATTGTGGGCCATTTATTGGGCATTTTAATGTCTTAGTGATATCAGAATTCGGCGATCTTGGGCTCGTTGGATTCGTCTTGTCTAGCCGTGCGATTCGACTATAAGAATGTCATGTTTGGAAACCGTTTTGTAATACAAATTATGGTTTGAACCTTCCAAATATGCTTCGGGTCTTTGATTTGGAGTCATTTGGGTTCGGATTGAGTTGAATTTGGTGTTGTTGGGTTTGTATTTTCGAGACGTTCGGTTCGACTATAAGTTTACTGAAATCGGAGTTCATATGGTCTCTGATTTAATTCTTGAAGTTTCCAACTTGATTTTGTCTTGAGATTAAAAAAAAATCAATTTTTTTAGGGAGGGCACGTGCCCCCCCCCAATGGCCACATCACCTGGTACACATCAGTATACAACACCACTACACAACAAAAAAGTGACATGGAGTGTCCTGATTCGCCTCCAGACGACATCTAGTGACCGCATAGAATAATTTCTCCTTATTATGACTCATTTTATGCAAGTTTTAAGTTTTTTCTTTAAAAAATTTTAATCACTTAATGCCTATATGTGAAGTTGTTGTCAAAATGTTATAACTTGATCAAAAATTTTATGATGTTTGGTTTTTGTTTATGTTGTAATTGCTAATCTTGTTAGTCTTTTCGTCTTTCCATTTTTTTTTTCTCTAAAATATTTTTATTATTTATAATCAATATTTCATTGCTTTAAATTGGTATTAGAACTACAATTTAACAATAATAGGATAATGCTTTATTTGGATTGAAAGGAAATAAAGAAAATGAAATAAATCCTAAAACATTAATTGATGAATATGAATCTTCAATAATATATTATATTATAATATAACTATTAGCAAATAGATGGAAACATAAAGGCCGGCCATATTAGTGTTGTGTGTAGGTTTTTCGGCAGGTTGTTGATCTCTTTCTTAGTTGTTGATATCTAGTTAAATATTATGTTCGTTAGTGTTGTTTGTGATGATGAGCATGGAATTGGATACCTTTTCCACCTTTAAAAGTTAATGTTGCCCCCATCTTTTATGTTTTATTTTATTTTTAGATATTTTGTGTAAGTATCAACCAAGAATCTCATATTAATTGATTCTCTATCGTTAGTATTTTTAGATATTTTGTGTACTAATGTTGCATATTTGAACATTTGCGACGGTAGAGAGATATAGACTTGAGCGTCCAAGCTTTATACGAAGATCGAGCAC